GGCAAAATCCCTTGCTCCTCCCTTAGGTGCACTCACGTGGGCGCTCATGTCACCCCCTTTCCTCCCTCCCCCATTCGCTACTTTTTCTTTCGTAGCTAAAACTTTTCCCCGCAACTTCCGTTATCCATTTTCTTCTCTCTCTCTCTCTCTCTCTCTCTCTCTCTCTCTCTCTCTCTCTCTCACACACACAATTTCGAAATTTTTCCACTTTATAAAAACAAGAATATCGATAATACGAATAACAAATGATTCGCCGGAAATACCCGGAAACCGATAACATTGATAACAAGGAATCTTAAATATTGATATATATAACGGACGCGATACGATCAGACACTGTTTCGCATAAAAAAATTACGCAACAAATCGCCGGAGATATTTCATTAGAATTGGCGTATCAAAGGCCAAAGTTAGTAATCATTCCACGTATATGCCTTTTACTATACTTCAATTCAAGATACCCAATTTAAAGTCGATAATACCACAAAAAAATTTATTTCAATATTGCAAAGTTATTTCTCTCTAATTTTCTAAACGATTGTGCGAAAATAGAACGATGGAAAAACGATATTTTAACTACGTTAAAATCCCCTGTCTCTACAATTTAATTCGGTCAATTCCGTGATTGCGAGGAGTTTAAGCACTGAAAATATATGAAGATTATTGTGTAATATTAAAGATTTAGCACGTCAGAATTTAGCGACTTATTAGGATGTTGTAATGTAAGAGCTCAGAATCATATGTCACAGTAACGAGCGAAGGGCATCGCGAGAGCGGATTTCATCGCGATCTCATCTTGGCACAAAACCTTTTGCTTTCTATGAGAAAGCATATCGACAGGCCGACATATCTGGTCTGCGATATTGACGATATTATTTCAATTTTCGTCGTGCGTTGCGAAGGCGAAAGGCTTGAATTCACCATTGTTTGTTTTACCGACATCGCGATCGGCTGGCATTCAGAAAAAGAATTAATTCACGCAGTACAAAGTACATGTAAAAGTAGTTTACGAATCGCCTCGTTTCACAATGTTTATCCTTCCTTCGCGGGATTTCGTAATAACGATTAATTTGCACAATGGATTTTCCAGGGAAAATCAACAGGGAAAATAGAAAAATCATGATGACGAAAGATATAATAGATACTTCAATAAACAGCGAAATCGTTTCAAAATCATTAATGATCTTAAAACAATTAAGTAGAGAAAATCAAGGATTTTCTGATTAACACGTGGAATTGCCAGCGAAACAATTCCCCAACGAAAGGCAATAAACGCTATAGAAAAGGAATCGACAGTGATGTACAATATAAATAAATTACGTCGCAATCCACTACCTACGCTCGCCAGGAATTACGAAATAAAGAACTCGACAAAGATATTTGTCAAGCCAAGAAGACAGATAATAAGAAATACTTTCTACAAATTTCCCCATTATTATTATTATTATTTTTTGTAAAATAAAATTATAAAATCTATAAAATAAATAAAATTAAAAAATAATATATTTAAGTTGTCCCGAAAGATCGCGTCGCATCGCAAGCGTTTCTCTAGCGATTCTTCCATCAGGAAGAATCAACAGCGAACGATCTCTCGGCGGTCCACCACTAGTATTATTTGCAAATATCACGCTATCGATTTGCGTTTCGTCGCGGGTCATATTAAAACACGTACACGTGACGCCGGATCGATATTTCGCGTCGTCGCCACCTAGTACTACTACGCCGCGCGCAAATCGATCGATTTGCATTTACATTTATTAAACCCCCCCCCCCCCGGGGGACCCGCGGGGGCTGCGCGACGTCGCGTCGCGCGTGGGCCGCGTTAAATTCCCATAAATCGCGATAGCGTAATCGCCGAAGTAAAAAAGACCCATTTCGTCGTCCATTTACCGCGTGAATATTACGCGTTTACGAATACTCGACTATTCCTCGGATATCAAATAATCTACACGTCGATGTCGCGCGGCAGGCGCGGTAAAAAAAAAACAAAAAAAAACAAAACCGCGATCCAAGGCCCGATCCAAGACCGTTTCAATAATGGCGAACGGAAGTGGATTGAGCGATTCGTTGGAGCTTACCTTTGATAAACGCGAAGCGGGAATAATGCCTGCGGCGACTAGGAGAGTTGCGCCGATAAAAGTTTATCGCACGCGCACGCACACATTCGTACGATTCGTGCGATACGACGAAAGCACGCCCACGTGCTTGCGGAACTTTTCCCGGAATTGCAGGCCGCTTCGCGAAAAATGTAAGCGAAGAAGAACCTTGAGAGCTTATCAGCGAGACACCGGTGTAACACTGTGCGTGACATATACGTCAATTGCTGGTAGAGATTTATTTTCAGCGAAAGAGTTTTCCTTAATATTTTATTCATTTCTTTCGTGCGTTCGCATGCTTTTTTTCTTCCTTGAAATCACTCGCATAAGTCGTATATTTATGATTTTTATTACGTCTGCTTTTTCACGTAATTATAATAGTTTTCCTTATCGAACAAATTACGATCACGCGTAACCGTGATGCTCTGTGTAAACAATGTGATTTGTCATCTATCGCGTCGAAATTTCTTGAGAAGACACAACAACAAAAAAAAAAAACAACATCAATCGGTAAGAACTTATTTGCGCTTAAGGAAAACTTTACAATTAAAACTAGATTACGTTCGCAAATAGATTTTCATTATAAATGCAAGAATGAACTTTATTATCTAGAACTTCCTTAAGATTTATGTAAAGGAGGAATCAGCTGGGACGGATTAGACATGATCAATCCGAAAAAGCTGAGAACCGCTATTCGTCCCGTTTCGGGACTTGTGGTAATTTCGGAAAGCAAAATGTCGTATTTAGTTGCGCGTCATTTGAACAACGTCAAGCCGAGGATCTGATGACGGTGACTCAGTCACCGGAGTTAAATCGCGAAGGTAACGCAATTTCTTGCGAGACGCGGCGCCAAGACTCCGTCGCGCGGATTTGAAACAACAGAGAGACTCGATACTCTCCTAAGACGATTATGTAAAGTATCCATCTCGAAAATAAAGCTCGCTTATGCTTTACGTCTTCGAAAGCTCCGGAAATGTTATCCTCGAATTTACCCGCGAAAACGAAGATCATCCGGTTACTTTGCGGATTATTCTCCGATGCGAGAAAAAAATCATACAGTGATGGGAGAGAAAAAAAATTCCTATTTTTCTCCAATAAGAGGAGATACTGAGAGAGAAAAAAAAGTGGGGGGGGGGAATGAAAGTGAATACCGTACGAAAGAAATATCATATGTAAAGGTAAAACAACATTCTCGCAGCTACGTTTCACAATCGCGGGATTAGTAGGTAATACTATCGCGAAAATAGAACTACAAGCCGCAAATATAAAATTGCGAACTATAAATAACTTGGATTATATTAATGCTGCTTCGTCATATGCATGCATACATGTACGCACTTCGATCTAATTCCTTCATTTGCGCACTATATTCTCGAAGAGTGAATAATATCATAAGCAGATTGAGTTATCGCCGGCTAAAGTCCGGTGGCTTCGAATAAATGAATTACAAGCAGAACGACAATGTTCCGTCGCATCGAAACTAATGAATATATTGTGCAATACGCATGTGACTTTTCTAAAAAATAGGAAATATCTCAAAATTATTATTAACTGCCATGTCGGGAACATTCTGAGGATTCTAAGAACTCGCGCATCATTTCTCGCAATTTTTTTTTCTTTAGCGCCAGATTTAAGTTTCTAGTATAAATCTAGCATAACGTCACATGATTATAAATCACTCCGTTCATCTTCTATGACGACGCCTTGTATCGTGAAGAGCAGATTTCTCGAGGCGAGAGAGGGTTTGTGCGCATGAGATGAATGACGCCATAAGCGTCGACAATGTAGATAACGTCGATTCTATGATGTTAGGCGACGCCATTCTCGCCACCTGGTATTATTTATAACGCCTCTCGAAGAAACCCCTCCGGCATGTGTCTATTCGCGATAACGTTTACGAAACCGATCGACGTCACTCTTAAGAGACAATATATAGTACGTATGTTCCAGAACCATCGTATTGTCTTCGACGGAGTTTTATGATTGATTTGAATGATTTAATCCTCCCTCGATAGCAGGGACGGGATTATTTTTGCAAAGAATTAAATCTTGGAGTAAATAAGAAAAATTTTTGAATGTATGTGTGTGTGTGTGTGTGTGTGTTGTGTGTTTTGAACAACTAAAAAAATATAGAACAATTTTATACAAACGAAAATTTATTTCAAGTTGAGTAAATAAATTTTTAAATAATTTTTTAATAATATAAATATGAAGTTTCACTTAGGCAAATGATATGTTGTTATTAGTCGAAATCTGTATTCGATTAGTAATATCTGTGTTAATGATTTTAAAAAAAATTACAAAATTCTAGTTTCGTTAACGTACTTCCATGAAACATGTCCATATTCTCCGATATTTGTATACATGAACAATTACGAACCAAT